GCACCGCTCCCCGCGGCCCCAGCCCCGGCTCGCCCCGCTCGCTCACCGCCTCCTTGCGCTGCCTGCGGAGCTGCAGGGCCTGGTGCCTCCGGTCCGGCTTGGTCAGGTCCCGCCGGCGGCGGCTCAGGGTCTTGGCGGGGACGCGGCCTAGGGGGAGAGATTTCAGAATAGCAGCCGTGTTAGTCTGTATCCGCAAAAAGAAGAACAGGAGGACTTGTGGCACCTTAGAGACTAACAAATTTATTAGAGCATAAGCTTTCGTGGACTACAGCCCACTTCTTCGGATGCATATAGAATGGAACATATATTGAGGAGATATATATACACACATACAGAGAGCATAAACAGGTGGGAGTTGTCTTACCACCTCTGAGAGGCCAATTAATTAAGAGAAAAAAAAGGGGGAGAGAGCGGCGGTTAGCGCGGGCCCCCGCGGCCGGGCAGGGCGGGTACCGCGGGCCCCGACAGGGTCTCACCTCCCGCCCGGCGCTGGGCCCCTCCGCGCTGCTTCCGCCCCTTGTGCGGCTTGTTCTGCTGCTTCAGGGCCCCGGCCCGGTGCGCGGCCGCCGCGCCCGCCGCCATCTTGCCTCCCAGCACTTCCGCTTCCAGGGCAGCCACGTGCGTCACCCGGAAATGACACATTCACTTCCGGTCTGCTGCCCGCGGAGGATACTGGGAGTAGGGGGGGGAGCCAGGCAGGGGTTCAAGCGGGAAGAATCGGGAGCCGCCGAGCCCAGCAGACCGGTCAGCGCAGGCGTGAGAGGCCGGGGCCGGGCGGAACCAGGCCGCTGGTCACGGGCCGGGCCGAGGCGCCGCTGCAGCCCCCGGCGACGGGCTCGTTATACCTGGGCGGAGACAGACACGCTCAGCGCGTCCCAGCCCCTAGGTCCGTGAGCCCAGCAAGCCAGTGGCCCCCCCCCCCGGGGAGCCCCGCGGAAAGCGGCCCTGGGGGAGCCCTGGTGGGCGGCAGCCGGGGATGTTACGCACCATTTTCCAAAATGCAGCCTGAGCCCAAGGGCCTGATAACGCAGCACAAGGCGACACAGATACCGACTCTCCCATGATCCAAACCGGGGCCGTAGTTTTCATGGCAGCCGTTTTCTCTGCTCGTCAGTTAGCTCAGTTCCCACTCCCCTTCCTGGGAGATCAGAGTCAGTCCTTATGGCAGTGTCTAGCTCGTGCACCCCAGGCACCAATATAGACATAGATGCAAACATCTGAACGTGCCTGCATCACCCCCATGGAGCCCGCCTTGCTCCTGGCCCAGTGCATGTGCGGGGAGAGGCAGGGAAGGGGTGGAGGTGGGCAGTGTCCATCTCTGCTGGAAAAGCCACTGGTGTTAGGCACCATCTGTGGCTGAAGGTAAGTTGTTTGGCTCCCTCACTCACTCTAGTGCAGGGCAGCAAGTCCTGGGGGCAGGGGAAATACACAGGAGGGGTCACAAGGATAGTCACGCTGCCGTCCTCCCAGGGGTGAAGCCCCTTTCCACCAGGCCCTGGAGTGATCAATATCCACCTCTGAGCCATGGTGATCTGGCCTGTGAGGGAGCTCCAGGCTTCACATGGGCAGTAACAGACTGGATAGTTCCAGTCCAAGTGCCAGCTGCAGTGGAATACAAGGAAAGCCCCTTCTGCTGCTGCATCTAGGACAGGAAACTTTCCTCTGATGGCTCTGAAGAGTGTCTGGTTCTTAGCCACGGCTTTGCATGGGGTCTGGCTGGCAGCCATGACTTAGTGCCCCCCTCCTCTGCCTTCCCCATATGACATTACTTTCCTTTTTCACTTCAGAAGTGCACTCCCTGGTCTCTGTACCCAGGGCATCACCCAGAAATGCAACCATCCAACAGAGGTTCCTGTGTGTTACCTGCCCTGGGATTTTATTCTCTTAGCCCAGGCCAAGGCTCCGCGTTCGAAATGGGACAGATGAGTTATTTACTGGAAACGCCAAGCAGCTGCCTCTGGATTCTGTGCAACTCAAACAGCATTGTCATTATTTCCAGAGACTCCTCACCCCTAACGCAGACAAGGAGCCGAAGACAGTGAGGAGCATAGAGGGGAAAGCAAAAGAGATTTGGCCACTCGTATGGGGGAAGCAGACAAGGAGAGTTATCTGAGGCTGGAGGGAGAGACATTTCCACATGGGAACAGCACATACCACCTCGGAACAGACACCAGGCACAGAACTGCTCAGAGTCCGATCTCACAAGGGGGAAGCCAGGGCAGGAAACAGGAGGGAAGGGGGCGTGGACATGGGGACCCACGACACCCCTGACAATCCTAACTTCTGAGGGCATGAGGATGAGCCTGACAGTGACCTGTTCTCTGGACTGGCCAGCAACTCCTGGTCCCCTCCAGCAACTTGCAGTGTGTGGGGGTCTCGGAACTGCCTGTCCAAAGACAAGCAGAGAAACCCCACTGTAAAGAATAACTCCCCTGCCTCTCACCCAGCAGGCTCCATGGATGGGGGCTCACACGCAGTGCAGGGAGGCAACATTGCCCCAGGGGAATGGAACACTCAGACCACTCGGTAGGGACCCTCCCCCCAACGGGGGCAGCATGGGCAGGGCTCCTTCACTCTATTGTTTATTAGAGGATACAAGAGAAAAAACAAGCCACATCCCATGTTGGCACATCTGAAGGGAGGGGCCACGCAGTGACGACCACCTCTGCTCTTTAAATAGAGAGACAGCCACAGACAAACGCCTTTTCTTCCATCAGCTGTAACTGTGCAGTGCAAAGCCAGGCAAAGGAGCCTGGTGACAGGAGCGATGCTCCCAGCAGCCCCCCCTCAGAAGAAAAGGGGAAGACAGACCTTTGTGTTAGGGAGGGGAGTTGAACACTCCCCACCCCCTGACAACAATCCCTACAACCCAGCCAGATTAGCCCCTGGGAGCATTTCAAGGAGAGGTGCCTTAAATCCCACAGCAACTGTCTCTAACTCTCTCACCAAACGGGGACATAGTGGCCTTACAGCTGAATAGAAGAGGCAGGCTATTCCATATGTGAACTACATGGGAAGCAATGACTTACCTGCCCCTTCTGTGGCCGCCCCAGGGGATTCAGGTGCTCTCTCCTTGGGGGTGTCTGCTCACCCTTACGCCCAGCTCCCCACAAGCATTTCACCAGCTTGCTCTTGTCATGGTGAGAGTAAGCAGGTCTGTGGTTTCACAGTACTTTGGTCACCTGGCAGCAGCCCTGCCACTGGGGGGAAATTCAGCCATTGGACTGAAGTGGGGATGATTCTGCAGACTCTGCCCGTAGAGCATTGGTTTGAATGGGCAGGAGTCTCGTTTGTGACCCAAGCACAGCTCTTCGTCAATGGCTGGCAGCTCGTCCCTCAAGTTCACAAACTAAGGATTTGGGGATGCCACAGAAAAGGGCATTTTCTTCCCTGCCTTTCAGAGGCGGACGTTTCCTTTGTCTCGCAGCACAGGATCTAGCCACAGCATCTTTAAAGTATCGCACTGCTTAGAAAAGTGGGTGTCTACTTGTGAAAAAGGCTCTTCAATCCTCAGCAGCTCTCTGGGGTGCATCAGGGCCAGGGCAATTCATCCTAGTGACAAAGCGTTAACTGATTATCACTCCTGCTAGTTCATGGTGCCAATGCAGCTCCCAGAGCAGATTCCAGTCCTGCCTGTGTATCAGCAACAACATTGCTTGCAAAGCTGCAAGTCTCTGAAGGAATAATTAACTCAAGGGTCGTATTACTACAAGATTTCGTAGAGGCCAGTTGCCTAGTGGGATTCAAAGGAGGATGAGACATTCACCTAGATAACGAGCACAGCCATAGCTTCGTAGGCAGGATGCCCCTTTTGTAAGATGGCCATAAACCCTCCTCTTTCGCTCTCCAGCAGGGGCCAGGAAAACTGCCCCTGGGGGACATGTTCTTCCATAATCGCCTTCTGCAGGGTTTTTTGCATCTTCCTTTGAAGCAGCTGGTCCTGGCTGGTGTCAGAGGCAGGACATTGGGCTAGCTCAGGGGTAGGCAACCTATGGCACGGGTGCTGAAGGCCGCACGCAAGCGGATTTTCAGTGGCACTCACACTGCTCGGGTCCTGGCTACCGGTTTGGGGGGCTCTGCATTTTAATTTAATTTTAAATCAAGCTTCTTAAACATTTTAAAAACCTTATTTACTTTACATACAACAATAGTTTAGTTCTATATTATAGACTTATAGAAAGAGACCTTCTAAAAATGTTAAAATGTATTACTGGCACGTGAAACCTTAAATCAGATTGAATAAATTAAGACTCGGCACACCACTTCTGAAAGGTTGCCGACCCCTGGGCTAAATGGACCCCACGTCTAATTCCGCTTACTGATGCCAACCGTCCTACGGCAACAGGTATCCCCCAAGGACAGAGTTGGTGGAAGAACCTTTACTGCTGCTGAGGACACAAGATGGAGAACCAGCTGGTCTTTCAAACTTCAGGGGGATCATTCAGAGCTGGCAGTTAGAAAGAAATCATGGCACTTGTAAATGGAACAAATTTGATCTGGAGTCAGACACAGCAGCAGCCTCCCAATGAATGCCAGGCTTACCAAGTAGAGCCGCTGTTAAGTACCTGCCTCACCAAGGGCACTGACAAATGTATGGTTTGTAGGGGCCACCCTGCAGAAGGAATCAGAGCAAAACGGGGAGGGGGAAAGGCTGGGGCCCAGGGGCACATCTGGGAAAATCAGAGCCACAGCTCACAGCAGTTACTTCAACACTTTATTGATTAATGATTTGTACAGCTATGTACATGGCAAAGTAAAGCCAGCCTGTGGGAAAGCCGTGCAAGCAGCAGCTTTTTACACACACACACACACACACTCTCTCTCTCTCTCTCTCTCTCTCATGCAGGTTTCCCATTGGCAAAGAGGGAAGACAACTTGGCACTCCAGGTCTCAGCGCTGTTTGCTCGGATTTCCCTGTGCACAGACCCGCCCTGATCATTATGCCCACCCAGAAACAGTTGGATTTAGGGCTGCACCGAGAGCGGACCAATGTCTTCTGTCTGGCAGTAGCACCAGCTGTCACTCTAGAATGAGAACCATGACCGCTGAGCCATCAAGGGCGAAAGAGAGGGGCACCTAGAAAAAGGTGATAGTCTCAGTCACAAGCCACCTCAATGCCATGGAGGGCAATTGCCTCAAGTGCTGCCCAATGACATCAGCTCCTCCCCGTTAGTCACCTCTGGGAAATGCCCTGCACCCCATGTCACACTTGCCTAGCTCCCCTCACACCCCCCAGACTCAAAGCCCCTGTGTAGACGTGTGTCCGGGAGCGCACCTCGCCTGACTGACAGCCATCATTTTAGGTTAATTCTGGCTGCTCTAGCGAAGTCAGTTCCCCAGGCACAGAGTTTACAAGAAAGAGGGGCTGGGGAGCCAGGATGCAGCTACAACGCCCTCTCTTCACACAGCTTTTCTCTTCACACAAGAACTCCAGCCATTTGGAAACCACATTCTGGTTCCTGCCCATGGCTTAGCTAGCCACAGCAGGTGAATTCAAACCATCTACTGCAGACTGGGCACCAGAGTTGTGCAACTGCAAGCTAGCTGATCAGGGCTTTGGCCATTCTAGACCCCTTTCCTGGAAGCCTCTGCTTCTGCACAAAGATGACCAAGCCCTTCCCAATAACTTAACTCTGTCCCTTTGGGGTGGCACAGTACCGAGCCAAGCATGTCATCCTGCCAGGGCCCTGCACAGGATTGTGCAATGAATGTTCCCCTACCTCACATCCTACAGAACAGGGTGGAGAAGAAATGGCTTTTTATTTGCTTAGATCCAAAGTTACTGATTATGCCCTCTGCACAAATAGAAGCTCATTTCCTGGCCACAGCCCTTCTAAACTGGGGAGTGCAGAAGGAGAGCCCAGTTTGGATGGAGAAAGGAAGACAGGACAAGACTAATCACCCAGAATGTCTGACTAGCCAGGGAAGCAATTAGCCATTGATCTTTGAATATTCTGCATACACACCCTCTGCTTTCACTTTGATTACTCATGGTAGGTCAGGGAAGGAGCCTAGCTACCGAGGTTACCAGCTGCAGGCTTAATACAAGTGTCTTGGGGGTCTGTCGCATCAGAAGCCTTCACTGTACCCCAGACTCCTGCAGGTCCATCCACAGGTTCTCAGAGCTGTTCAGACTCCACTCCCAACATGCAGAAAGACAACCTCTGGCTTCTGGGGAGGTGTGGGACCTTCACGTGCAAAAGGGACCCCCACGGCTATACTCGAGCACCCCCCACCTACATTCAACCTGAATTAGAAGCAGCCCCTGGTTTGCTCAGGTGTGCAGCATGAGGAGTCACAGCACACCCCATTCCAAGCCCACACGCTGGGGAATAAAGCTCTGAACCAGACCTTGACCTTTCTGCACTGCCTGTAAGGCACCTCCTCGGGAGAGCCAGGCTACAGACCAGTTTCTAACTCCCAGAGGGGAACTTTCCTGTCCAAGCAGGAGTTGCTAATGCAGGACAGAAACCAGGGCACAGCCAGTGTCACAGCTCTGCAGGGAAGGGGCTGTCAGCAGCAGTCACTGAGCTGTACATTTTCAAAGCTAGGTAGAGTGTGTGGCCTGCAGAAGGGGAGGGGCTCCTTCCAAGTGACCTTTAACTCGGCTGGGCTGACCACAATGACTGCTGCTGTCTCAGAGCACAAAGTGCTGACACACTCTGCTCTGCGCATGCCCACGCTCAATGCTGTTCACCCTTTGCACCCATTTGGTTAGAGCAGGGGCTTGGCAGCAATTCAGGGCAGAGCCTGGCAAGCAACACCCCGCCAAATGGTGCACGCCGCACACGCTACCAGGCTTCTTCAGGGGCGTTTGCATTCCAGGGCTGGGAGCGCCTTACCGACATGGCGCAGCCAGCTCTCACCTTCTCAGGCCCAGAGGTTTGGGCTGATGGAGCTTTGCACAGCCTGGGGCAAGCTGGCCGTGAGACCAATGCCTTGGCGCACAAAGGAAGATGGGCTACAACTAGAAGGGCCAGTTTATTAAAGAGAAACCTCACATCCCAGAGAATTCAAACACATTTGGAAAGGGCCCAGCCCTGCTGAGTGGGCCCAACTTCACAGCAGCACAGTCCTAAATGCCCCGAGCTCGGGCACCAGCCAGCGCCGGGGGGAAGTAAGGATTCACTAATACAGCTTATGATGCTTACAAGCAGCCTGAAAGAGCCAGTGTTAAAGTTCAGAAACTCCCCTTTAGCAATGGTTAAAACAAAATGGTTTAAAATAGTGAGAAGTTCCATATCCCTGGCTGCAGCAGGGTGGGAACCAGAGGTCCGCACTGCACGACTGTTCTCCTGGGGTACCGTGCTTAGGCTGCTCTACCAGTGAAGGCCAGAGGGAGGCGTCTTCTCATCTTTGTTGCTTTCCAATGAGAAGGGTGGGATTCGGACATCAAAGTGGGAGCCATCAGGCCTCTCAAACCGAAAAGTACCCCTGCAAAACGAAGTTAGAGACCAGACTGAGACCAATGCACACCACGCCCCTCACAGTGCAGGAATGGAATGACAACTCCTGGGGGGAGGGGCATCAACCTTTCTGCACTCTGCCATTGCAGGGGCCTGCCTTTGCAAGAATCCTCCCACCGGCAGGAAAGCATCACCGGCCATGTGACTCACTTATGACAAGGCGGTTAGCCCAACACAGAGCAGGCCACCCCGGGGGGAGGGGGGGGAGGAGAGGCCTAAAGCCACCCCCAGATAACTCGGACAATGCTCTGCTCAGGCCAGGCCGGAGACAGGCTAGGTTAGGCCATCTGAGTTTAGTTTGCAAATAGGTCAAATTCACATTCTTATTTACCAGCCGAAGCCCCAATGGCTCAGCAACCTGGGATCAGTCCTTAAAGGCCCATCACAGGCAGTTTGGAAGCTGAAGTTTCTGCTTCACAATTTCACAACGGAAGATTAAGCACTGAACACACATTTCCGTACACAGGTAAGACAAGTCAACTCCCCAGCAGGTCTCCCACTGCCTCAGGAAAGCAAACTTGTGTGATGCAGGATGTGAGCTAACAGGGAGGGGTCTTGATAGATAAAACAATAGCTCTGAGTCGGATTCTTCATCACCTGAGAAGACCATCTACTAGAAAGGAAGCCATGCGGCTTGGTGATTCCAGCCCCTTCCTCTCCCCACTACTGGAATGGCTTCCTAGCTGTGGCGCCTGTCTTTCCTTTCAGACTTTGGGGAGGAGGGCACTACAACGAGCTGCACTCTACTCCCAGGGGATCTTTCATTCAGCTAGTCAGGAATCCCCACCCATGCAAGGTGAAAGCCTGAGTTAGCAAGACCTGAAGGGACAGGGCTGCTGTAGTAATTCCAGCTCAGATACAAGTGTCTGCAAAGCAGCCCCCAGCTTCTGAGAAAGGTGTGCTCAAAGGTGGGGAAGAGAGGGGTCATGTGACACCTCTCCACAATGTGCACAGTTTAATGAGCGAGTGGTTAGTTTTCAATGCTGCTGAAGTACATGGGACTGCGTAAGCCAGGAACAATCCCAAGCGTCAGGCCTTTGGGCACTAAATTTCAGACTCACTCTGGGAGAAAGTCAGTGCACTTCACTAGCATTTCCTCCAGTGGGTTCTGCTAAAGGAAGGCCCGAGGGTACAAGAGCCCATACAACCCTGCCTCTGGGACTCAAGAGGGAACATGCCGGGGAGCTGATAATAGAAGCAGATCATTTGGAAAGGGCCCAGCTCCGTCGCAAGGGAGAAACTGGGGAAGAAGGAGGAACCAGCTCGGAGTCTCTGCCAGGGCTCCTGGACAGCAGGGGTTCCTGGAACTATCACTACAGCCTGGTTTATGCAAACGTGCAGCCACCTTTAGTTGCCTTGTCCACACCCACCAGCTGTTGAGTCCTGTCAGAACCCCGGACTGTGAGCTTTCTGGGACACAGACTGTCTCGGGGTCCTAATCTCCAACTGAGGACTCTGCACTACCACAACAGTGAATGTTTCTTACCACATGTGACCACTGGATGCCTGCAGTGAGACATGGCTGCTGTATTGAAATGCTGGCTGCTCTTTGGATAAGACTGGCTCCTGAGGACACAAAGAGACCCCACTGTATCAGTCAGATCCCCCGAGATTTCTCCACAGCCAGCCATTGGCAGATTTGCTTTGCAACAAAATCAGCAGAGCTCCTCAGGCTTCAAATGCTGCTTAGCAATTGTTTCTCTTCTTGCCATCACCACCCCCATAATAAAGGCCACACCCAATAAGCAGCACCAGCAGGACACCGTATTTCAGTTCCCCCCCAGATTGGGGGACTGAGTGAACTAGAACAACCCTCTGCTGACCAAATCTGCATTTTCTGCTGGGCTCCTTCCTGGGATAATTCTGCAGGACTGCGAGCCTGCATAAAGCCCCACCCCCGGGCAGGCAGAAAACAGCAGGGAACCAAAGGGAGGGCGTGCGGGGGAGGGGGAACAACCATTGGCACAGTTTTGGGGGGAACTGCCCCCAAACAGAGGCGAGGCATGGGGGGGCATGCAGGGTTACGTGCCCCCCCGCTCCCCCATTTCTGCAAGCTGCCTAGCTGAAGGGGGCTGCAGCTCTTCTGACTCTGCAGTTGAACGCCGCCTCCTGGGTCCTAGTGCCTGTCGAGCTCCCCTTCTGTGCAGCAGTGTGTGCCCGCAGTGGGGCTGGGTAAGGCGCAGCGGGGAAATGAGGGGAGGGACGGGGGGTAAGGAGAAGAGGTAGTGGGGAAGGAAGGGGGGGGTGGAATAGGGCGGGGGAGGGGATTGTGGAGTGAGGCATAGATGCTGGAACTAGCGGTGGAGGCTGCAGGGTGATCTCCCACCTCAATGCAGCCAGTGCCCTGTGCTCCCCACTGTCATGCCGGAGCCACATTGATTTATTGACAAATAACATTTGCAGAATTTTAAAGTATTGCGCACAGAATTTTTCGGTGCAGAATTCCCTCAGGAGTGACAGAACCTGCAAGGAACTGTGCACATGACTCTTTCACAGCGCACACTTACTGCAGTCACTGGAAGTGCCCATTAAGCCGCATACTGATAAATCAACCCAGGGCGAGTGCTCAGACATAGCCTCCGTTTGGGGGACAGATATCAGGCAATACTTACCCTTCCCACAACTCCTCGGCCCCGGACAGTTTCCAGGGTGCCAGACAAACTAAATATCCTCCAGTGCCGTTCTCGCAGTTGTACCACCTCATTGTCAAGGTTCTCCAAGCGGATACAGTAACGCCACTAGAGAGGCAAGAGACAAAGTCGTCAGGAGCTGGAGCCAGCCGCCAATAGGCCAGGTATCAGGTCCACTTGCTGATGCCACCCGCCCTCAGAGCCCATCATGATAAATCTGTCCATAGCCATGGTGGGGCTTCCAGCACCTCACAGCAAAGAAATGCCCTCCTCCTCCTCCGGCTGTTTTACAGAAGCACAAGGCACTTACCCAATAGACATGGGAATTCTGGGCTTCCTGTCAAGAGAAATAAACTAGTTTAATAGATGTCCTTCAGCTCAGCACCAATGCCCCTTCAGCGATCAGCACAGCACAAGCACGCAGGGCTGACTGGGCAGCACAGACTGAGGCACTCTCCAAATTCACCCATGAGTTAGTCCTTCATTCCCAGGGTAACACTGGCCTGAGCATCTATGTAACTGTGACAGAAGAGCTCCAGGGATCCACCAGTGACTGGAGAACTGACCAGTCATGGGTACCCCTGTTAATTATACCTCTGTGCTGTTAGAGGATGCCCAACTCCACATGCTGTTGGTTAGCAGATGGGATACATACCAGTTCAGCTCTCCAGAAGCTTAGCTTCCATCAGGGCCTGCCTGTGTTGTGGTCCAAGGCTCCCTTACAATCCTACTGATCCTAGAAGCATTGTTTATTTTGAAACTGTATGTGTAAATCCCCAGCTCTCCACCCCACAAGACAGCTGGCTAATACACAAGCTGAACCCCGAGCAGCGGGGTGTCCGAAGCACAGGGTGTCAGCTGAATCCAGAAAGCTTTAATCAGGGAACTCCTCAGCCCCAGGGAGAAGGCAAAGCAGCCGAGTGTCAAACCCCAGGCGGGGCGACTAAGTGTAACTCACTGCGGTCCAGATTGCGCTGGTGCCATTTTACATCCAACACTAACAGCAGGGAGTGTTAATGATACAGGCATTGTGAAAATTCTCACCTGCCCTTTAGTAGCACCTCTCCCACAGAGCAGCCCAAGGCGTTTCACAGAACTCAGCTAACAACTAGCAGGGGCTGAGATGGGGATGTTCCCATAACCATTCTGTCCCATGTTTCCATGTTCACGACCATTGAGGATAATGATATGTGAGGATGCAACTAGAACAAGAAGCCAGGTCACAGGACGAAAGCGAGATGCTGCAGCAGGACTCGGCGCTATCTGCACTGGCCCATAGAAAGGATGGGGGTGTTTTAAATGGGGTGGAGAGAGTAACAATGGTGTCCACGCTAGGTAAGACCCAGACCTACCCTCATGCCCATGTAGAAGGGGATGACGGTGACCCGGATATTCTCGGTGGTTTCTCGGTGCACATCAGACAGCTCTAACCAGGGATGATTCTTCTCCTGCCACGCACACAGCGTGTCCCTCGCTACAAAAGGCGGAACTGCAGGGAGTGGAAAGATGACAGTTTATCCAAAAGGCTATAGATAAGCTACTGAACTCCCGCCTCTCAGACAGAGCAGCAGCTTTTACATGGTTACAGAGGTCTGTCTAAGGATGCTTCTGCTAGAACAAAGCCTCTCACCCCATGGGTAATGCACTGCACCTAAGACAATGAGCTGCAGATGCCAGTCTTTCCTTATGAAGGTGCCTTATAGGAGCACACGGCTCTGTAGAGGCTCTCTCTAGGGCAAGGCTCGAGGGGCATGCAGTTACCTTTTGTCTGGTCGTACATAAGAAACCTCTCAAAGAGCTCGTGCTGGATTGGCACCTGATCGGTGGAGCTGTAGGGAAGGATGTCTTCATGGCTTACATAGTCTAGACCTAGAGAAGAAGCCTACATCAGCCATTAAATGCCATCAGCAAAGGGAGATTCACAGGAAGCATCTTAGCAGGGCAATAAATTACACTAATGAGTAGTAAAAGGGCCTGGCAGAGGAAATCTAAACTAGCAAAACTATCCTCAACCTACAGGACACTCCCTGGCAATAATTCTTCACAACTCGCTTTACCACCTTCTTCAAAAGGGATACATACTTCTCCAATTCTCTTCTTGAGTCACTAATGGCTGCAGAAGTGATTAGTCTATCACACAAGGACTTCAGATAGGGAACACAACAGAAGGAGAAACAGAGATCCAGCAGCCCTAGAAATAAAGGAGGCAAAAGGAATGCAGGGTGTAGGATCTGAGAATATCTACTGCTAAGTAGAGAGAGTGGGGTTTGGGGTCAACAGCTCAAAGTATCTGAGCAACAGTCAAGACTCCCTCACTCGCCTAGCCACTGACTCCAGTTGAACATACCTCTTCACAATGCTGTGCATGTCAGTCACTCGACTGTTCTCCAAGAGGCCTACAAACTGCACCTAGGACAAGGCATTCCAGGGGTAGATCTATGTACTGCTGTTACTAGACTTCACTAGTGATGGTACCTCTCATGGTCCTCCTCATCTGATCGCATGAGAATCTGCACTCTCCAGAAAGCTTAAGAGCAGCTATTTACTCACCTGGTATGGCATAGAGAGCTCGACTGTCGTCATGATTTGCCAGGAACGTCACTGCTTCCGTCTGTGACCTCTGAGACTGAAAATAAGGGGGATTTAGCGCTTCGAATGGACAATACTGTGGGCCGACAGCAGTTTTATTCTTCTTCTCTCAAGACTGTACATTTATTTCATTTAACCAGTTCAGCTCAGAACAAACATTTCTCTTGTTTTAATCTCCTAGAGAAAAATCACAATTCAAACACCAACTAAAAAGATTTTGTTCCTATTGCCTTTACCTAACCTGTCAAGTATCAGAAGGGTAGCCGTGTTAGTCTGGATCTGTAAAAAGCGACAAAGAGTCCTGTGGCACCTTATAGACTAACAGACGTATTGGAGCATACGCTTTCGTGGGTGAATATGTCTGACGAAGTGGGTATTCACCCACGAAAGCTTATACTCCAATACGTCTGTTAGTCTATAAGGTGCCACGGGACTCTGTCGCTTTTAACCTAGGCAGAAGAAATTTGACCTACTCAGAAGAGTAATGGTTAAACATTTCTGATGATCTTTCTTAGCAGAATGATGACCTAGTAAAACAGATCCAGTCAGTCACCCCTGTTCCAAACATTCCCACCATAGAGGAACAACATTAACAGCACGCTCCCAGCCTTTCATTACAGCTGCTGTCTGCATCTAAGGAATTAACAGAAGAGGGAGATCTTTGGGTGTCAAGAACAAGGTTATCAGACACTTACTATATGTGGGCAATCCCGGGCATCTATTAGCACTTGATAGTAGGTGTGAGTTTTGCCTTTGACTTCTTTGGATCCATGACCTGCTGCACTTTCACTCCTAAAGAGAAAGACAAATTCTGAGCACAAGAGCTCCTTTCACTAGCCTACACCCTACGGATGTGATTACACCTGCCAGCAGCAAGTGAGACAGAGTGGGAATAAGTTTGGTCATACATCAGGTTGCATCTCTGATATTGTGGATAAAGTACAAACAGTTGCTACCCGCAACAAGTTCATTCTTAAAGGAAAAGGGGGTTCTGAATACACTGCAGGATCTTCAGTCACTCCATTTCAGTCAATGTGAGATTCACACCACCCACACATACAGCAATAAATGATGAGAGATGCCAATATATATATATATATATATCCATGTCAGTGGCATGATAGCCCCCATTTCCAGAGATTGAGAAGTGTCTCACTAGTCAGTCAGGCTTCCTATCTGGGTTAATGCTTTCACTCCGCCCTTATTTTCAATGTGTTCACTCCTCAGTCCTATCTATGTTCCACAAGACTCACTTGCGGGGTTCATCAGTTGCATGGAGTGGAAGGTGAAAGACAAGGAGGCTCCATCTCTGAGAAGGCTGAACTGAACCTAGCTTACCAAGACTAGAGCCAAGGTCAACCAGTTCAAATCACTAGTTACCTATACAGCAACCTACACCTAAAGCCACAGGAGTTTCTTTCGTTAACATACAATTCCACCATCCATTTGTTTTCTAAAGCACACACACCATTCCCTAAAACCTTCCTCCCATCTTTTAACTTCGTCTAAATTAATACCAAAATAGTTTCTCTTATTATGAGCTGATCTCTCCCAGTTTGATGCTCACACAAAAGTCACCCAAGGCTTTGCCTCACTCTTTCCTAAAACCTCTGTGATCCTGACCAGGAAGAACAGTGAAAGGCGTAAGCAGCATGGGAGCAAATGAACAAATGTAAATCCTTACTTTTCTGGAACAGGAGAAGCAACATCCCGATCATACAACCTGGCTTGCCAGGGAAACAGGACTATTCCTCGGTAGCCAAATACACTGTGAAGAAACAGCTGAAAAGGGGAATCAAACTTCAGTCCTGCGTAAATCACAGCCAAGAGATTAAAACGCACCTCAAAAAAAGGGTAACAACCTCGCACTTCTAAAGCAGCAGCATTTTATTTTTATTATGCAGGGAGAACTAGCAAGATTTGGGCAGAACCTGGGTTGATGGGGCAGGGGAGAAGAAAGAATCTAAGACATGCTCCATTTTCTGGACCTGTTGACAGAGAGGAGAGTGGTGACAGAGAACGAGGGAACGGAGAAGGCTTAGGAGGAGAGAGAAGTGGGAATTAAACACCCCGGAGCTGTCGGAGCCGCAGGCAGAGCTGGTCGGGGGCGCAGCGAGGCCAGGAATGGAGACGGGCTTGCGAGGGCTCGGCACAGCGGGGGCAGGTTCACACTCTCCCTTGCTGCTGGAGGGACGATGCTCGGGAGCGAGCAGAGCAGAGCACCCGGCGCTAAGGCGGGTTTCAGCGGCCGGAGTCTCTCCGCTCTGCCGCAGCGAGGGCAGGGCCAGCGCTCCGGGCACCCGCCTGACACCTACCTGGCCCGTTTCGTATTTGCCCTGCGGCTTCGGCACCTCGAACACTCCCACCGGCTCCAGCACTTTGCCCTCGGCCCGGTTCCTGGGGGGGAACCACAGCGAGTCAGGCCAGGCGGGGGCCGGGGTCCCGCAGAGCCCAGCTCCCCGCCCCGCCCCGGCCCGCGGACCCCGCCCCGCCCCGCCCCGCGGACCCGACCCCGCCCCGGCCCGCGGACCCCCGCCTCACCGGGACGAGAGGTGGCGGCGCGGGGGCAGCTGCGAGGCCCCGGGGCCCCCGCACACAGCGCCCGGAGGCCGCGGCTCGGGGCCTCCCTGAGCGGCAGCGCCCGGACCCGGCACCTGCTCAGCGCCGCCGCCAGGTAGCGCCGCGCCGCGCAGCCCGACATGCCGCCCGCCCAGGCCGGCCGAGCCGGGACAACGGAAGGGCCTGGCGCTGACACCACCCCCGGGCCACAATGCCCCGCGCGGCCGCCACCCCCGCCGGTTATGCAACCTCCGCCTTCCCAGCGCCCTTTGCGAGCGGCCACTCCCGGAGAAGCCGCTCTCTATGGTTCATCGGAGAGGCCTTGGGAACGGGCCTGTGATCATGTGACCCCCCCGTCCTGTCCAAGATGGCGTCCTCCATACTGGCGGGGGAGCGGCTGGTGCGGGCGGCGGCCTCTGCCAGCGGGGAGCTTGGGCGGCTTCCCCGCGAGCTGCGGGCGGAGCTGGAGGCCGCTTTGGGGGCCCAGGCCGCCGGGCGCGGCCCCCTCGTCCCCTTCAGCCTGCTCCGGAAGCTGCAGGGCGCCCTGCGCCAGGCAGGTGAGAGGCGCCGGTCGGGGCCATGGCCTGAGGCTGAGCGTCCGCCGGGCTCATTTCCGGCCCCCTACAGCCAGGGTCGGCGCGGGGGGGCACGAGGGTACACTTACTTCCCCCCAAGATCTTCTAGGGGGCCCCAAATTATTGTCAGCAAAGCCAAAACATGCACAAAGTTATCCACGGCTAAGCGGCGGAACAGCAGCAGAGCGGGAGCTTCACCCTTTATATGAACTATAAATACATGCATCATACTGACACCGCAGCCAAACTTTGCTTTTGCAGACTCTTAAAATCTAAGATTTTCTAGGGAGTTAACTAGCCCCTGGAATCCTGGAAGGTTGTTTGCTTTTTAAATAACATCCAGGGCCCCCAAAATACCTACCCCCTCCTCCAGTAATGGGACTCTAAAACTGACTTCCATCTCCTGTGAGTGTCACAGCCTTGATCTGCCTCCGCTGAAATCATTCTCCCAGTTCCTTGCTTCTCTGTGGTCTCCCCAAGTCCCAGCTCCCCAGCAAAATGCTGCTGCTCTCTTTCTCATCTATACAGAGAAACATGGCCCCATTGTACTATCTTCAGACTGCTCCCTGTTACTTCAGGCAACTTGGAACTGGAGCCTTCCATTCTTGTCTATAAAAACCTCCATGGATTTTGAGTCACCTGTCCTAATGGATCTCTTGTCTCTAACTCCCCTCTCTTGTTTAGAACCATCAACCTCTGCCCCTTCAGACAGTGTGGCCAGCATTGGTGTTGACTTCTCTCCACCTCCTGCCTCCAGAGACCCTTTTTTATATCTCAGCCTCCTTACTATGTCTATACGTCTGACCTGTTTCTTTCCCTGTTGCAGGAAGGATGGCTGTATAATTAAGGCACAGGATTTAGAATTTAAGGCACAAATTGGGCTTTTTTCATGGCTCTGCCACTTTGGGAAAATCACTTAACGTCGATCCCTTAGTTTCCTCATCTGTAAAACGAGGATAATACTAACTTCACAGGGTATTTGGTGGCCTAAGTTATTGTTTTTAAAGTGCATTGAAATCTTCAGCTGGTAGGTGTTAGACAAGTGCATAGTATTAATCTCTAACTCCTCTAAACTGTTTGAGGATCCATCTCAGATGATAGACTCTACAAACCTTGTACTTTAAAGCAACAGTTAATTTTATCCACAAAGTGTTCTCTCAGAATTGGCTGAATGAAAACTATTGCGAAGTGTAAAAATTCAAGTTAAACAGTCAAAATAAAACCCCTCATTTTACAATATTCCTCACTTACCTTGTTAACATCTTCATTGCTCAAACTGATCTCAAATCTAATTTGAAATCTAGTTATAATTCTACTTGTCTTTCATTTATCCTGGAACTGTGAACCTAGCTAGTTTCACTTTAGTACTCTTGTACTAAGCAGATGCTGTTTGGTGGAAGGGTCAGGATTTTTATTTTGTTCTCCTTGACAACCTATTTAACTTCACGAAAACAATTTTGTTTAAAACTAGTTGTTGTTTTTAAACTCTGTTTCTCTCACTCACACACACACACACACACACACACTCTCTCTCTCTCTCTCTCTCTATGTCTTGGAGACATTTCCATGTTGCATCCTTGATGTGACCAGCTAGAGATCCAGAGACTGACCTGGATGTTACATTTCACTGCTTTGCCTACATTTCTGAACTGAAAGGATTTCACCTACAACCTTTGTGTTGTAGGTTCTCCTGTGTATCTCCATGAGCTACTGGAAGGCAGCGAGATTTATCTCCCTGAAGTGGAGAAACCTCCAAGGGTATGTAACAAGCATGGGATAAATGCTAGTTACAGCTATTGTTAGAACACTGTTTCCATCTCTTAGCTAGGGACATTACTAAAACTAGATGTTTTTCATGTGCCAAGAAATGTACAGAATAAATTAATGGCACCTCAGCTCTCATTGCAGTTTCTCTTGTTTATTAATTGTCTTTAGAACCCAGAGCTGGTGGCCCGTCTGGAGAAGATAAAGGCTAAGCTAGCCAATGAGGAATACAAGCGGATAACAAGAAACATCAACTGCCAGGTCTGAAGAAAGGCAGGGAAGATACAAGATCAGAATAAATCTGGACAGTCTGTTCTCCACCAATTATAAAAGTTTACCATACCCTATGGAACCACCATAAATGTTAAAGTAATAAGTACTCAGCACAGCTCTTTGGTGGCAATGCCCAGAGATGAATTTGGGGTCCCAGGCTCTTTGGTTTGGAAGCTCAGAGGCAAAAGCAACTCAGCTCTATGTGGAGAGCATCTGATATTCCTTTCCCATGACCCCGACTGGCCTATCCAAGAGTATCACTGTTGAGCTCCAGAGTCCCTCACCGGGAGTGAGGATTGGTGCAGCACAAGGCCTTTGAAGGGAGAAATAGAGAAGTGCTGGAAGCCTTCCACCTCAAACAGGGCTGCCAAATCTGTATTGTAAACAAGGGAACCGGAGCCATCAGGGTGCTACCCACAAGCCTGTTGATCAAATATAGTTCTAGTCTCAACGGGGCAGCAGTGCAGGATGCTCTACTGGAATTGTCTCCACTATGGAATTGACACCTAGGGTGGAATAAGGTTTTTATAACCCGGTTCTTCTCCTTCTCCTCTCAGGAACTGAACCGGTACGGGACTCTGGCTGACTTGGGAAGGCAAGGTGAGTTGTATCAACACAGGAGGAAGCAGGCAGTGTATGCCCAGCAGGCAGAAAGCCAATTGTGAAAATTAAATCAATTGCCATCTACTCATCCTCAAAGACAGAGCAGCCCCACCTCTCTCTGACTAGCAGGGTGTGTTTCACTAGATGGGTTTAATTTGAAATAAGGGACGGTCCCTATTTATACATTAAATAACTTGGGATGATTATATGGGTGTCAGAGTTTGAAGGATTTTGAAAAGCCTCAGGGTTGGGAGTTTGGATCAGAAGGGGAGACCATGGTGCCTAAAGAAGAGATGTCTGCCAGCTCTGACCTAGATAGCCTGACCAGTGAAATTTTGTTTCTAGCTTGCTTCTCTCTGGCTCATGCTGTCCCCCTGCTGCAGTTTGCGGGCCCAGCAATGCAGGCAGAGGTGAATTTGTTAGTGTTTTAAATCAAAATTGCTTCTTCAAAAGAGGCAAGTTTTTTCAAACGGTACAACACCTGTTTATTCTTGAGTGTTTTTCTATCTGAACACTGGGGAAGGGACTGGCAGATTCAGGCAGAGGTACGATAGCTTACCCCAAGCCCTTACGTTGCATGCTAATGACAAACCGCTTTTATCTGCAAAGGCTTTTGCTGACATCTCTCCTCCCTCCCTCCCGTCCCCAGTTAGGTCCATGAAAGCAGTGGTCATCACCATATTCAACTTCATTGTCACAGTGGTGGCTGCATTTGCCTGCACATACCTGGGCAGCCAGTACATCTTCACAGAAATGGCAGCGGTGAGTGTGAGCTGGGACAGCACAGTTTCCATGTTTGTTTTTTCCATCCTCAACCTCCTTTGGCGTGTTCAGAGCACATTGGAAGGACCTGGCAGGAATGCCATCTCCACTGAGAACAGGAGGCTGATTGGAATGCTCCAGCAGCGTCACTTAAACCTCCCTTATTTCTTCTTGTCCCCGCAGCGTGTGCTGTCAGCTGTGATCGTGGCCTCAGTGGTGGGCTTGGCTGAACTGTACGTGATGGTGCGGACCATGGAAGGGGAGCTCGGAGGATTGTAGTCAGGAGGCTTTCACTTAGACTGTGATCCTTATGCTGGAGGTCTTTTCCTCCCCTGTGGGTTATTAATTTGTTCACAGGTATGTTTGGCTTTGGTCCATTGGGTCCCTGTGCCTACTGCAGTTTCCTCACACCATGTCCCTTATTCCTGCCACGTTTGAAATGAATCACCAGATGCACTGAACGGGGACCTTGTGGCATGGAACAGAAGAGTCAGCAGCATCGGGAGGTTTCAAATCCAAGAATGGTCCAGGGAGGAGTGGGGGGATCTTCTAGCTCTGAAGTTGCTGTCCCTTGTTCAAAATAAATGGGTTCTGTGTGCATTAGAATTACCTTCCTCCTGCCTGAAGGCAGAATCCTAGGGCGGAGATGCTGCATGTGAAATGCCTACACTGTGTACCTGGGCAGCCTGGGTGTGTCTCTGCCCTCTTTATCCCAACCCCTACTCCATTGCTTCTATAGAAGCCATTACACTTGGTTTCTTTAATGCTCTTCCATTCCTGCATGGTGCACTAGCCAGGCTGTTTTAGGGTAAAGCACAGTTTGTACAGGGCATGAGCCCTGCCTGCTCTTGACTGAAGCAGTGGGTGCCTCACCCAGGCCCTGTGCTCATGGCAGTGCATTTTCTCCCCCCTGCAGACAGCTGCTCCCCTGGAGAATGAGGGCACCTACTCCCACACTGTTCCTCCCATACTGGGACATTTCCTAACTCAGAAGGTGTTGCAGCCAATACAGGGAATTCTTTATCTGTTAAGATGAGGTCTAATAGAGAAACTGACTGCAGATCTAAAAATTAATGATAGTTTAGGTACAAGTGATTATGACTTATGTGCAGTGTGAATAAAGTCTAGACCAGTAATATAGATACATGTGCTACTTTAATAAGGCCAGTTTCACAAAGCCAAAAACAATTGGGCCAAATGAGCTGGGAGGGATGACTTAAGCAGAAAAATGTAAATGATAATTGGAAAACATTTAACACCTTACTAGATGCCCAAAAAGATGCAAGCAAGGAAGAAAGATGTATTGATTAAAAACAGACTTTGTTTAGAGGGGAAAGGAAGGCAGCTATAAAAAAAAAATGTGTAACAAATGAAAGAAAAGGGGGAGTGGATAGGGACAAGTCACAAGTTGGAAATTGTAGAAAACGTATAAGGGAAGCATATGGACATAAGGAGAAATCTATAGCCAGCAGAATTAAGAAGGAGTTTTAAAAATATATTAGGAACAAAAGCAATCATGATAATGGTATTGGTCCATTACTAGCTGGAAATGGTAGAATCATCACTCATCAGAAAAGGCAGAAGTGTTCAATAAATATTTCTGTTCTGTATTTAGGGAAAGACAGATGATATAGTCTCATTGTATGGTGATAACTCCAGTCCACTAGTTGGGCATTTTTAAATCAGCAGGTTCAGATAACTTGCAACCATGATTTTTAAAGAGCTGGGTGAGGAGCTTCCCAGGCCACTAATGTTGGTTATCAGTGAGTTCTGGGGAAGTTCCAGGAGATTGGAAACAAGCTAATATTGTGCCAATTTCTAAAAAAGGCAAACGGAATCACCTGGGTCATTATAGGCCTGTCAGCCCGACACTGATCTTAGGGAAGATAATGGAGCCGGTGATACAAGAGTTGATTAATCAAGAATTAAAGGAAGGTAATGTAATTAATGCAAATCATCATGGGTTTACGGAAAACAGATGCTGTCAAACTAACTAGTAATCTCATCAAAAAATATCTGGCTGATAAAGGTATTATGGACTTGGACTTTCAGAAAACCTTTGACAAGGTCCCTCACCAAAGGCTCTTAAGCAAAGTAAGCTGTGCTGGGACAAGAGGGGATGTCCTCTTGTGGATCAGTAACTGGTTAAAAGAAAGGAAACAAAGAGTAGGAATAAATGGTTAGTTTTCACACAGGAAAAAGGTAAATCATGGGGTCCCCCACGAATCTACACTGGGACCAGGGCTGGTCAGCATATTTATAAGTGATCTGGAAAACTGGGTGAACAGTGAAGTGGAAACATTTGCAGATGACACTGAACTACTCAAGATAGTTAAGTCCAAAGCAGACTGTGAAGAGTTACAAAGGGATCTTAATAAACTGGGTGGGGTTTAAATTACCTATTACCACTTAAGAAAGATCTTGGAATCATTATGGATGGTTCTCTGAATACATCTTGTCAATTTGCAGCTGCAGACAAAAAAGCTAACAGTGTTAGAAACCATTAGGAAGGGAATAGATGATAAAACCAAATATCACAATGCCACTATATAAATCCATGGTACTCCCACACCTTAAATAATGCATGCAGTTCTGGTTGCCCCCTCTCAAGATATATTAATTGGCAAAGGGACAGAGCAGGGCAACAAGAATTCACTATGGTGAGAAACCTACGTGGACAAAGATTGTAAATTGCTAACATTAAGTTTTAGTCACTAGAAAGCCTGTTTTACTTGTAATCAACCTGTGTCTTCTATTCTTCTCTCTTAAACCTACCTTCTTCGTTAGTAACTTTGTCCTTGTGTTATTACCAAGCCATGCCAGTGCCGGCCATTGAAGTGATGTGTGGCTCTTCAGCTGAACCACCAGGCTGAAGTGCACTTTGTCTCTTTGAAGGCAGCAAACTTAACTTCTGTGGGGGTCCAGCAAGAGGGACCGGACACTGCAATGGAGGCCGTTTGGGGGCAACTCCAGAACATGAAGGGCTGTTGGTGTCGTCCTGCAAGGAATGACCGGGCTGGTGGAAGCCAAGATGCGGCCACTGTGCTGTGAACACACTGCTGGTGCTAGGGCTCTGAGTCAAACCTGCACAGCACAGATGCACTCGGGATAACAGGGCAGGCAGAGACACAACCCCTCACTGGTCTGGGTGAACCCCAGAGCACATGGGGGAGTGGTAAATAATGAAGAGGACAAATCACTGATTCAGAGTGATCGTGATCGCTTGGTAAACTGGGCGCAAGCAGACTGTGTGTTTTAATGAGGCTAAATGTACACATGGGAACAAAGACTGAGCCGCACTTACATCAAATTTGTTGATGGCCAGTTTATATCCATGTGTTCCTGTGTCCAAATTGGCACTTAACTTAGATCAGGGGTTGGCAACCTTTCAGAAGTGGTTGGCCGAGTCTTCATTTATTTACTCTAATTTAAGGTTTCACGTGCCAGTAATACATTTAACGTTTTTAGAAGGTCTCTTTCTATAAGTCTATAATATATAACTAAACTATTGTTGTATGTAAAGTAAATAAGGTTTTTAAAATGATTAAAAAACTTCATTTAAAATTAAATTAAAATGCAGAGCCCCTGGACAGGTGGCCAGGACCCAGGCAGTGTGAGTGCCACTGAAAATCAGCTTGCGTGCCACCTTCGGTTGCCTACCCCTGACTTAGATAATGCCTCTCGCCTACCCCTGACTTGGATAATGCCTCCCCCTCCCTGGTATTTATCCCTCTGATGTACTTAGAGAGCAGTCAGATCTCCCCTCAGCCTTTGTTTGAGGGGACTAAACAAGCCAAGCTCCTTGAGTCTCCTCTCAAAGTAGGTTTTCCATTCCTCAGATCATCCTAGCAGGCCAGACTTGCCCACACTGTTCCAGATGAGGTCTCACCAGTGCCTTGTATAATGGCAATAACCCTTCACTGTCTCTACTGGGAATACCTCACCTGATAAATCCTAGGACGGCATTAGCCTTTTTCACAGCCGCATCACACTGATGGCTCAGTCATCCTGTGATCAACCAACACTCGCAGGCCTTGCACCTCCTCCAGGGGCCCTGGGGGACTCTCCATCACTGACGATCTTTAACTCAGACTTGGTGTTTTTCTAACAGCTCCACTCTGGGAATTATTTGGGCAGTTCTCTGGCCTGTGCTATCCAGGGGGTCAGCTTTCATGATCACAATGGCCCCCTCTGGCCTTAGAGTATCTGAGCTCCCCCCAGCTCTGGGGACTGTTCAGCCCCACTTCCTGGCAGTGGAGGGGGGTAATGCAGCATGCGCCACAGGGACAGAGACTAGCCTCTCCCTTGCTTTGTCATTCCATTCCACCATCAGTGGGGAGCAAACTGAACAACCTCAACCCCTGTAACCAGGAACCATCAACGGCGAAAGGGCAAGCCCATGGGTGTCTGCCGTGCCCAGCAATAGCAACAAATGCTGTCACTGTAAACACTGGCTCTGGGATGATGTTACCACTCCTTGGGCAGCTCTTTGCATCTCTCCAACTGGGAGTGTGGGTGCTCCTGCTGCTTGGATCCTCACCCAGTCCAGTCGATACAAAGGAGCGCTGCTTGTATAAAATAAAAGGCGTGTGTGACCTATTTCCGTAACCTCCCAAGCCAGAGGCAGAGTGACTGCAGCAGGGTGTTGGATCTCATAGGAGTCTGACTCCCTCTTACACTGGTCTAGGTACGATTCACCCAGCTTCTCACTCCCTCTTTGCCTAAGTCCACCGTAAGTAGAACCTGGCTTCAGGATGAGACGTCCTGCTTCCATCGGTCCCACCGCAGAGGTGCACTTACCTTGTTAGCATCAGATTCAGCTGGTGCCTCGGTTTCTCCATTGGTTGGGTGGTTTAGCTTTTCTGCTGAACCCAAATCGCCCCCTCCCAGGGTAATCCGTGACAATCCACAAGGAGGGAAAACAAACTCCCTGAGCTACAGCTCCTTCTCAGGGGCTGGACAAACCACCCCAGTAATTCACCACTCTCTGTGCTCCAGAATGGCCCTTGCCCAGCCCTGTCCAGACACCTTGAGCCCCTTCCCCTTGGAGAGAGACAAGGTGAGCGGAGCCTAACCTGCCCTGGTCACCACCTTGGCAGAGAACAGAACAGCAAACCTACCCCTAACCCTGACCTGTCCCAGCCTGAGGAAAATGGGCCTTCTTATACCCAGCATGCTTTGTTAGCAGCTTACAGGTCCCATGTTCACTGGAGGGAAAGTCCCAGAATCCCTTGGTGTTTGGCAAAGAACAAGTCACAGGAGCAAGATGAACTCTGACCCTTCTAACCCTGCTTCCCCCTGCCACAGCCACTGTTGCATGTGGGGACTAGGCTTCTGTTTCAGGTGAATCTTTGGGGGTTTACTGCTCTGCCTTTAAAAAATCACCTAGAATTGTAAGTGCAGCTCTGCAGGCAGTTCCCCTCCCTCACATGCTTGAAAGTCACCATGACTGGACAGTGGCATCAGTGGTGTGACTTTGTGGGAAGGAATGCAGGTGCCAGGTGCCAAGTGAGTCCATTCCTGGGAGCTGGTTCCTGTGTCAGAGGATGTGATGGGTTTTGGGAGATTTTAAATTACAAATTAAGCTTTTGAAAGATGACTTGCCAGGCAGCTGGGACGTGAAACCCACATAAGATTCCAACTCAGTGCAAACACAGCGCCAGAGATGCTCAGTGTAGACAAGAATACCTGGAAATCTCTTCCTCATTCTCTTAGGGCACAGGGTCATTCCCATCAACTTCAACAGTGCAGGACCTAGCCCTGTGCTGCCAAGCTGTGAGTCCAGGGTTCTGTGTCCCCCCCCAGCACCACAAACATCTTGAGCCCAGTAAGAAATACAGCTCCCTGCTTTGCACCAGAGACCAGTGATGCCACCCACTGCTGCGGGAGAGACACAACTACTGTTGTCTGGCAGAGCGGCTGCAATATTGGATGTTCCGCATAAGGGCCCCAGCTCCTGGAATCCAGTGATTAGGGAGAATCTCGGCTTTCATTTAAAACAAAGCTAAGTGGAGTGTCTAGTCCTCATGGGTGCAAAGCTTGAAAATGTGACCCAAGTGCTCCCCAAAGACTCAGAAACCCGACAGCAAAGACACCCCTCCCACCTCCCTTATTTTGATAACTGTCAGGAATTTGTGACTTTGGGGGCCTGATTCATGGCTTTAAAATACTGGTCTTTGGGGCTTAGCAATTCAACTGTCACATGGGCCCAGCCCTCCAAACCTATTGGGGGGGGGGGGCAGCTGGCTGTGCCACATTCCCCTCTGCATCGCCTTTCTAACCGGGCCCACAGCCTCCCTCTGGGGGATGGGTTTGGGGGGGATAATTTTCAGGCCTGGACCCAGCTGCTGAAAACCTGTGCCAGAATCCCAGCCACCGAGCAGCCCAGCAGCCATGGGGAGGGCTGGCAGAAACAGCTGCCCCTGTGCCCAGGGACCAGACACAGCAGGGCCCTGCAGCTATTGCGGGCAGCAAAGATACAGGGGGTCAGAGAGATTCCCATGCTCCCCTCTGCAGTCACTGGCAGGCAAAGAGAAGGGGGCTCCCGGGCACAAGTTCTACTGCTGCCAGGGCTACAGCGGTGGGGGCTGGAAGGGAACCCTGCCCTGCAGGCCGCTCCACACAGCAGGCTGGATGTACTGCTGAGCGGGGGAACCAGCACCTGCCGCACTGGGGCAGGCCTGAGCCTTGACACCGTCTCCCCAGAGCTGGGAGCCCCCCCCCCTCCGCTGCAGCTCCCGGTGGCCCAGCTTGGCCAGGGAGGGGCTAGCAGCGGGCAGTGGGCCAGGAGCTAACAATGTTGATTAATGTTCTGATGGCTGCTAAGCTCCTTCTAAAAACACGCTTTAATATTTCTGATATGTGCAAATCTATTTTGTAACCTGGAAATGTTACATAGCGCCGGGATTAGGTCATGTAGATAAAGTCCGTGGCGGGGCCCGGCCACAATCATTTGCAAATACAGCCTGAGATTAAGGTATTGTTTGGAAAGATTAGTTGGTATTACCGCTGATTGTGATATGCAGGACCGGGCGGCAGCCCCGCGCTGCCAGCCCGCGGCACAGACCTGCATTTAGGATATTGGATGGTATTGCAAAGATCTTAAGGAGTCACTGCAATAATACTTCCCCTCTAATGAAAATTACAGCGCTAAGCTGGGGAGGGGGCGCGGCCCCACAGTTAGGATTGGGATGGAATTGCTTTGCAGCGCGCACCCAAGAAAGGCAAGATGCAGAGGTCACCCCGCTGCACGCCCTGCGAGCAGAGCCTCCCTCCAGATTAATTCAGCCAGGTACCACTGCAGGGGCTCAGACCGTGTCCTGTGGCAGCCCAGAGCCCCCCGCGCCCAGCTGCCCTGCAGGCTAGTGGTTAGATGGAGTGGGGGTTGGGAGCCTGGCGGAGGGGAGCTGACACAGCTAAGGGCTGTTTCCAGTTGGCAGCCTGGCCCCGTTAGCCGGGTTTGCCCCCATGTCCATGGGCAGCAGTTTCCAGCTGGCACCGCAGGTCCGGATGTCTTGCCCAGCACAGAGCCCAGCAGTGCCTGGGGCCAGCTGCTCCAGGGGAGCTCTAGGCGCCAGGCCTGACGGCTGCCCCCCAGCAACAACTGCGGCCCCCGCCTTGGCCGGGGCCAGGCCTAGGGCTCGCCCAGGTTGGTGATGATGGCCGCGTTATAGATGAGGTCGGAGATGTACCCGAGGGAGGTCTGCGCAGGGAACACATCCCAATAGGAGAGCCCCTCACCGGCCGTGGGGTCCGCTCCCTGCGGCCCCGCCTGGCCGGGGGTAGCCACAGGCCACTGGGCTCCCGCCTGGCTGCAGGGGGGCTGGCAGCTGTCCTCCCACAGGAGCTGCCCCTGGAAGGCAGAGACCAGGCCCGGCAGCGCTTGGCCCAGGCACTGCTGCGGGGAGCTGCCGGGCAGGCGGAGCTCGGACACCTGTTGGCTTCTGGCCCCTTGTCCCTGGGGCGGTGGGGGGCAGGAGGGGGGCGGTTTACTGGCCAGAGCCCTCCGGCAGCTCGGCTGCTCCAGCTTCCCGCTCTTGATCCTCCGGGCGCGGCGGTTCTGGAACCAGACCTGGGGAGAGAAGGTCCGTGAGGGACTCCCCTGCCCCGGCCGCAGACCCCCGCTGGCGTCCCACGACGTCCAGGCCCGCGGGATACGACGGGGCACCAGGGGCTCCCCCCGCCCCGCGGCCAGCCCGCCCCGCCTCGCCTCACCTGGATCTTGGCCTCGGGCAGGTGGGTGAGCTCGGCCAGGCGCTCGCGGGTGCCGATGTCGGGGTAGGGCAGCGCGGCGAACACCCGCTCCAGCTCGCACAGCTGCCCCCGGCTGAACGTGGTTCGCTTCCTCCTCCTGGGCCCCGCCGGGCAGCCCCCCGCGCCCCGCTCCGGCTTCGGGCGGCTCCCTGCGGGCAGGGGAGACGGGCAGAGCTCAGCCCCCAGCCCTGGCCCCCGCGAGCCTCCCCCGGCCCCAGGCTGCCCCGTCCCCGGTGCTCTCTGCTCTGGACACCGACCTGCTTGGGGCTCGGGCCGGCGGGCCAGGGGGGCGCCTCGGGCGGGCGGCGGGCAGCGGCCGGAGTCTCCGTCGGGGAAGAAGAGGCGCGGGCCGGGTGCGGGGCCAGCCCGGCTCATTCTCTTGCCGGGGTCCCTGCGCCCCGTCCAGTCCCGCGGCTGCGGCTCAGCGCGGCCGCCCGGCGCCTCCCGGGGCCTTTTATCCCCCGCTCCGCTCCCCCGCCCCGGCCAGCAGCTCCCAGGGGTCTGGGACCGCCCAGGGCGGGCGCGAGCCGGCTTTGATCCCGCGGCGTCTGACAGCTGCGGGCTGCCTCTCCCCCCCCGCCGCGCCCGTCGGGGGATCCCAGCCCGGCCCATCCCAGCCCCATCCCTACCCAGCCCCGCTAACCCATCCCAGCGCCCCATTCCCATCCGAGCCCCGCTAACCCATCCCAGCCCCATTCCCATCCGAGCCCCGCTAACCCATCCCAGCCCCATTCCCATCCGAGCCCCGCTAACCCATCCCAGTGCCCCATTCCCAGTCAGCCCGGCCCGGCCCAGCCCAGCGCCCCAGGCCAGTCACGTGCCCCAGCGAGCCCAGCCCACCGCCGTCTCTCTCCACCCCCAGGGACGGGGCTGTTTTGGGCTCCCTAGCTTGGGGCTGCTTTAGCCAGGTCCCATGCCCTGGGCTGCGCCCCTTGCCCACTGCTGTCTCCCAGCCCTTCCTCCAGCGGGGTGGGAGGCCAGGCCCTGCCCGTGCTCTCGGGGGATGACAAAGGGGGGCCCAGGAGCTGGCCCAGTTGCTGAGGAAGGGAGGGCCCAGGCACTGAGCAGCAGCGCCTCCCGTCCCCCGAGACTAGGGGTAACTAACCGGGGCTCCGCCTTCCCCGCTGAGACCTGGGGCAGGTTGCAGGTTCCAGGTTTGGAGTTTAAAAGCTAAGCTGTGACCCAGCCGGGAGGGAGTCTCACAGCAATATGTGGCCCCAGGCAGAGCAGCTTTGGTTGTGGGGCCACGTGCCGAATGCTGAGGACCAACCCAAACCCTGATTGTGAGCCTCCCTTTGCTCTGGGACGTCCCTTTGGGTCGGTTCCTCACCGGTTTCTTGCTGGCACCCGCCAGGTCCCATCTAATTCCTTGCTGGGTGCTGGCAGGGCTGGCCCCAGTTCCCCACACAGGATATTCCCCTGTCGCCTTTCCCTATGGGCCACCCGTCAGCGTCTGCCCAGGGCCATGCTCCAGGCCTGCCCCCTCCGCACTCGCATTCCAGGCTTTTCTGTGGGAAATCCTACCCAATCTGGCAGCACACAGGGCAGGGTGCCCTGGGGAAGTGGCTGTCAACCTCCCAGCCTGGCAAATGGCCAGCGGCGCCAGCACATCCTCTATTAATGCCTGGAGGCTGAGAGGCTGTGCGCAGCTGCCCGCAGGCTCCTCTGTGGCGTGATGGTGTCAGCAGTGGGTTGGCTGTCCTGAACGGCGTAGGCCCGTCTGCACCTGCACGGTTCAGCATGGAACTGCCTTGGCCTTACGAGGGGCCACGTGACCTGCAGCTGCTGGACTGTTCGGGGAATTGAGTTCCCAGGGGGATAACTAGCAAGTGCTCCTCTTGCCAGGCTGCCAGCTGGAGGGAGCAGGCCCCTGTGTGCCATCCATGGCTAGCACCAGAGTGTGACACTGGAGTAGCCTCCCCCAGGGCCCTGTGAATTGGGACTGAACGAAACACCAGCACTAACTGCCGCCCCTGGGGGGAGGAGGGGCGCGGATAATTGTGCTGGTCTCCGTTTGCAGTGCCGGTTGGCTCGTGCTGCCCTGGTCACACGTGTGGTGGAAGCGTAGCCCGGGGACAGCCAGCTCCTTCTGTGCCCTGGTCAGTTCCTGGCTCGGGGGCAGAGGGGGCTGGAAGGTGGGTTCAGTGTGAATGAACCAAGCAGGCAGAGGAGCAGGGGGGGAAGGGATCAATGGGGCCAAGGCTCCCGGTGGAAGTGCAGGGGGGGGGGCGGGGTTTCAGGCCTCTTCCTCTCATCTGTGGGGGGAGGATACTGGCCTCTCTGCGCAGACAGGACGCAGCGCTGCCCATGTGCCGTGCGCAGGGCCCCTCATGGCACGGAGGGTCCAGCGAGTCGTGGCCCTTCCTGGTGCCCCTGCTGCTCGCCTGGCGGCTGCCCTGTGCCAGGTCCCAGCGTTGCGTTTCCTCCAGGCCTGGTCACCCGCTCAGCGAGGTTCCCGCAGTCACTGCTCCAACTGCAGCCACTCGCCTCTCCCCGCTGAGCGGGTCTCGGAGCTGGCTGGGGTCATTCCCCTCTTCTCACTGGGTACCTCTGAAAGGGGCTGGCTTTGGCCAGCTTCCAGCGGCAGGTGGACCCAAACTCTGCCCCCTTCTCGCTCTGGCCCCTCCTCGGGGAGCCCCCCTGCAGCTGGCCACTTTCCGAGCCAGGGGAGAAGTCTGGGGGAGGGGCTAGCTCCCGAAGCTGGAGCAGGTGAATATTTAACCGGGGAGCTGGCGCTTGTTTTGCTTGGGCAGCTCTAGGCTGGTCGGGGGTGGTTCTGGCTGGAGAAGGGGGCGGTTGGGCAGCCGAAGAGCTGCCGATTTCACCCTGCAGAGAGCTGTGGGATGGAGCCGGAGCTGGAGCAGGGGCAGGAGGCCAAGGCGCGACATCTATCTGCGCAGTAAGCCCGAGAGTCGCAGGAGCTAGTGGGGAGGCCATGCCATCTCTCTGGGGCCACCGAGGGACTAAGGGTGCTCAGGGCACCCAGTCCCGGCAGGGGGAAAGGACCACAGGTCCCTTCAGCCTAGGGGGGGCCTGGAGTCTCCCATCCCTTCACACCAGGTGCAGGGTTCCGTTCCCTCTGGCGGTGGAAGGGTTAACTGCATACCTGAGCAGCTGGTCTGGCAGATCAGGGCTCAGCTTGGGAAGCGCCAATGCGGCTGCATGGCCCGGTGAGACAGGCCCCGGCCGGCTCCCCCAGGGGCGGCTCTCGGGGCCGCCAGAGTCCCTGCTCCCCACACGGCTTGTTTTCCAGGAGCCCAGCAGGCGACCGGGAGGATCCCACGGACAGGAAGGAAACACGTCTCCGGGTGGTGCTCAGGTGAGGGGGCAGGGACGGGCGGCTGATGGTGCCAGGTTTCGGGACGGGCACCTGGGAGCAGGAGGGTGCCCGCATGGTGACTGATGCCTTTCCCTTTGGCTAGGGTTCGGCCCCTGACCTGCCCGGAGCGCCGCAGAGGGGACCAGCGTGTGGTGCACTGCCTCGGGGACAACACCGTCTACGTGAGTGCCCCACGCTGGAGAGGCCACAGCTGGGCGCCGGCCTGAGTGGGCCTGATCCTGAGCCAGCTCTTTTCTCCCCGTGCCAGGTGAAGGCGGCCGGGCAGGAGGCGGCCTTCAGGTTAAGTGCAGTGTTCGATGCAGGCGCGTCCCAGGAAGGGGTGTTTGAAGGCAGCGGGATGAAGCGACTCATAGAGCTGGCAGCGAATGGGTGAGGCTGAGGCAACCCTGAGTGGAGAGTGTGCTCCCCCTCCCCCTCCCCCCTCCCCTCCCCCTCCCCCCACTCCCATCCGTAACTCCCAGACAGCCACGCACGCGCT